CATTGATAGCACTCTGTAGGTACATATATTTAAAAAGGATCCAGGCCCTGTTAAGTCTACTAGATTGACTTCAGTGTCTACCTTTGAAATGCATTTAATTTCTTTGCAGTTCAGCCTAGCAAATAAAACTAGAGACATCCATAAACCTTAAAAGTGTCTTGCAAAGATTATAGAGCCCTGTTCACACAAAGAAAGCTACTACCTGTGATTTTTTTTAGGACTGTCAAGCAGTGCCTCACTGATATGTACAAAATTGCGGAGTTCAGATACTGCTTTTGAAAACAGATGTAAGAGAGATCAGCAGATGTCCTTCACTGTAGTACATGGTTGAGTCATTTTACCAAACTCTATTTGAACCCATATTCTACAGCAATAAGAGAAACTATATTGTGTTTGGCAGCCACTGAGCGTCATGGACTTTCACTATTCCCATAAAAGCTGATTAAAATTAATAGATAAATAAATACAAATAGCTTTTTTAATTATTATTGTGAGAAAATATTTAACAAACAGGAAAGAGATGTCAACCCACACCGTAGTTGGGTACTGAAATCTGTTTATGTTTACCTGCTGTTGTTTGACACTGTTTTCTGATGCTGGTGGAGCTGAAGTCAAATGCATGCTTTCCCATAGTAGGAGCAGGGTTTGCTAACTGTCTCAGACTATTGGACCTGTGAAATGGCGACTATTTAAGGAGTGCAGGAACCCCTAAAGCTGCAAGTAGTCATTTCTCAGATTTTGCAATACCCGGTCATACAGTCTAATATAGTTAGAAGTCACTAGCCTTTTTTTATTAGGAAGAGTGTTCAGTAGCCCTTTATTTTAAAGGAAAGTGGGAGGACACTTGCCACATAATAAAGCATCATCTCTTGCAGAATTAGGGACCTGTTTTTCAATAACATGAATTCCCAGACCATTGCCAAACATTAAACACTTTCCAAGATCAGACAGAACCGTCTGATAGATCCTGTAATATAATCATCCTCTTAACCCTTAGGTAATATTTCTAGAGTTGCATTTGTCTTACAAGAGATATAGATGTTCTTTACCATTTTTTAAAGCATTGGCCCTGAAAATTTTCAGGGAGAAGTACCTTGTTTAAGTGTAACAAGAGCTCTTTCTTTCATAAATTGGAGATCATCATACAACTCATGGAAAAGAAATGACCTTGTTAGAAGAAAAGCAAAAATGTCTTCCTTATGCTTGCAGCTGTTAAGAGGACTGTGAAGAATTACATGGACTTCAATGCTGAGATGAGATCTCAATTAGAGCTACATTCTCTCTAACTGTGGGAAGGATGTTATCCTATATTTCTGCAGAAATATAACCTATTATTAATTAAATCTGAACCAATTTCTTTGATATCACCGTTGTGTGATGATGTATTGTCATTCCAACAGTTATTCAACAGTTATTTGAACAGTGATCACATATGGTGTCTGTACTGAGCATTGTCATATCAAATACTGTTGAATGTTGTAGTGCATTAAATATATTTGTAGCACTTTTGAGCAATAGTATTTAACTGTTTAGAGGTCAGAAGATAAAGACATTGGCAAAGAAGATGCCGGGTTAATCTCTAATAGACCTGTATCAATGAGAAAAAGAGGTATGTGAAAAGAAACCAAAGATCATTTTTTCTTAGCAGGTTTCTTTGTGTGTGTGTTCTTTCTGAGATAAAATGTTTTAAGCCTGTTAGCACAGGTGGAATGAGGAATCAGTGATGTCTTAGATAGGAGGATGGGCAAAATCTTATGTGCTGCTATGGCATATAGGAGAACCCACAAATGTTTTGGTAAATTCTCTAAGAAAATACTAAACTGTCTCATGGTTAATCTTTCTATAATTCTCATACAAGCATGGCACAGGGTTGTGCCTCAAATACTTTTCCAAAAAAAGCCATGCTAAAATAAATTGTTTTCATTTTACATCGCTATAATAAATGGACAATTTTGCAGAAATTGTGACATGAATTTGTGAATTTTTCTGCTACTAATCTGATCAGGAAAACACATAATGGACAGATGACATTCAATTTCCATTGCTTCCTTATCCTAAGTGCAGTAGATGCCAAGATTTAAGAGCAAACTTACCTTCACTGAAGATGTGTCTTTAAAGAGATATGATCCAATATATTCAAAACATGTATTTTTCACTTTCGGTATAAGAATATAAAAGGTTAAGAAATTCAACCTTGGACCAGCTTTTTCAGTGTGACCTTAAATGAAAAAGTTGAATAAAATGTCTGATACATGTTTCTGCAAAAGAAAAATGATGCTTTAAAATAATTAGTCATGCGGTGTCTGATATCCAAATTACATAGCACTGATTTTGTAAATGTAAAATTCACTGTTATCAATGTGAAAGCAATTTCATTTGCTTCCTCCTAGTAGAGAAAGAATGTCATCAAAAATTCATGTAAACACACCACAAATTAATTTTTCACCACTTAATGAAATAGTTAACACTATTTTAAGTTGTTTTTACTAATCCAGGAGATAATCCAAACATGACAAGCACTTAGTGCTACTGAAATTTCAAGCATTATTTACATTTCATTTTTAAAAATGTGGAGAAATTTCTGCCTTAAAGCTGTTTTTATTTTAGTCTTGAACATTTCTTCCAGGGTGTAACTTGACTGGCAAGTTAAGCTCAAATACAATTACATTACTAATCATGTGGAAAAAAACAATTTAAAAGATTTGTTTCACGGTATTGTAACCCGCTATGTACTGTGAGAGCGAATTAAATTGTTTCAGATATATTTTTCACTTTTAGTTTATTTCCTTAACAGATAGGCAAAAAGTAATTTGTTATTCTTTCTCTTTATAACATAATTGTCTTATACAAATTAAATTATGTGTTACAAATTAGCATTTAGATTTTATACACTTAAGCAGCTTCAGCCAGTTCCATTTCAAGTAAGTGACAGTGTTCCTTGTAAATTCAGTGCTTTTCTTCAGGAGTACCTTCATCTCAAGCTTAGTCTTCTATCTATCTATCTATCTATCTATCTATCCATCTATCTATCTATCTATCTATCTATCTATATTCTATCAAAAATCTGTAAGATTTTTGAGACCGTTCTCAGTGTCTGTTGGCCTTAAAGAAAGTGGCACTCTTCAGCCCTTTTCAGGCATAACCTGAAATGCATGATAATACATAATATTCTTGTATCTTTCACTATTACAATTAAGAAACAAACTCCGTAGAATTACAGAATGGCTTGGATTGGAAGGCACCTTAAAGATTACCCAGTACCATCCCCCTGCCATGGGCAGGGCTGAACCCCACCATCTCAGGCTGCCCAGGACCCCATACAACCTGGCTTTTAGTGTCTCTGGGTATGGAGCACCCACAGCTTCTCTGGGCTGTGCCAGCGCCTCCACTGTCATCTCCAAAATTTCCTGTGTCCAAATATTTTTGCTTTTGTTAATTTCACTGCAAGAATATGTTTTCCTCCCATAGAGGTCCCTCAAAGTTTAACCAAGCAACACATATCAATTTATTTCTGAAGGAGTATGTGTATTTGTCAAAATACATATATGCATTATGTCAAAAAATTGTGCCTTAATTCTTTTGTTGACATTTTAGAGTACAGATTTTGCACTTCTTTCCTTTTCTTTCCACTCCATTAAAAGTTTTTTCCCTGATGATTGTCATCAGTAGATGCATAAAATATATCTTTTTTTTCTCACTATTTCTCAGAGAAAGGCAGTCTAATTTCAGAGGTGACAGATAGTTCCTTTATCAGAACAGAGATCCCTTTTCTGTGGTTCATTGTGTACAAGTTAATATTGACAGCTGGTGAAATGTTTTTGACACAAAGGGTTCGGTTATTCTTTCCCTCGTTATGGAGCAGAAGAGACCTGTTCTGTTTTCAGTGTTTGCACATAATTGCTTGTCTTCCACCAACCTTCAGGGTTAATTCACTAACTCAGAAGGCATGTTCTGCCAGTTAAAATTTATATGTGTCAAAAAGAGAGTTTCACTGCACAGGGAAGTGTAACGCAGAACTGTTGCAACATAATTTGTTTTCTCTGTGATGCACCAACCATGAATCTTGGTATGGAGGAAATGACTTACATGTCAGCTTCTGGGGAAGGAGCTATGATCAGATAGGGATGATTGTTTTTTTAGTTTTAGGGATGATCCTTTTTTAGTTAGTACTTAACAACTGGAGTTCCTTAATTCATTGCTTTGTCACAGTACATTGCTGAAAGTTAACTTGGTGAAAAAAGTTCTGGGTCCCCATTAAATGCAAGTGTTAATTTCATTAAAGGTGCAACCAAAACTCAGGCCTGCAAATCAGATCTATGTGTTTTTAATACAAGTATGTCTGTGTTTTGCTACTATTATATGAGGGATGAGATGTAGGAATCACAAATCATCATCAGGATACAGCATTTACCTAGCAGCATTCGCTGCCTTTAAAAATCAGCCACTGTCTCCTTTGCCTTCATGGTAGAGCACTGTGTGCTATCTTGTCTCCCCTTAACTGTTGCTGCCAGCTTAGCATACATGGCCATTTGCAGGGAGTTAGAGATCAAGCCTTCACTTCCTCGTGCAATCCCTTCCTGCAAAACACCAGTGTAATGCTATTCCTTCTCTAGATTTTATTGAACAGTTCCTTGGTCAGCTTCAAGTGTTTTACCACATTTAGTTTTTTATTCCTCACTCTCTCATAGCGGTTGGTACACTGGGAGTTTGCCTCCCTGTGTATTTTGTATGAAATGAACACCATCATTGGCAGCACAGCTGCTGTGTGCCAGCCTTGAAACTGTGGCAGCTCCTAAACAAGCAGCTGGCAAGAATGAAAGACTCCTGCAGCGCTGCACTGTGAATTGACTGTGATTTACCTGGCAGTTAGGATGCTTTAATTCAAAAAAACCTACCACAACAGAGGGCAGATAATCAGACACCTGTGCTGTTGTACTGCCTTTCCACTTTATGCATGCTCCATCTGACACTTCTTTCTGTTCTTTCTCCCATTCATGCAGTCACCTACTTCTGGCGACAAGGATGACCAAACACTGACGGTAGGCAGCAATTAGTAGTTGCATGAGCATTTATTTCTCAAGAGAGTGGTAAGGCAAACATTTCTTTATTTTGGCACACATCAGCATTTGTGTGTATCATTGGGCTTTCTTTCTCCCCTCCTATGCAAATGTAAAATTTAAATATTTAATTTCCTGTGATAAAACTGAATTCCCGTGTTCATTTTCTATCATTTTGCATTTAGAATTTGTAGGATACCAAAGATTAATGCACATATTCTGCTTTTATTACAAAACAAACAATGCCTTATTTTAGTCAAGTTTGAGTTTTTTTCTTCCTGTAATTGGGTTCCCGGACTTTCTAATCCAGCAGTCCATTGGTTCTGGTTATTGTCTTTATCTGAACGAGAAAACTGCTCTCCACAAAGCAGTCTGAGTCAACATGGTATGCTAAATGCATCATTTTTGGTATAAGACAATGGCTTGGGGAAAAGAACCTTGGGGAAAATAACCTATATGTTTATAAGTTCCTTAAAATTATGCAAGAGATGCTTGAATATAGGCTGTGTGGTGCATTCACTGCCTTACCACTCTAACAATCTGTTTATGTAATCATTATTTACTGAACTGAACCAAAGTGAGGCATTCTTTTGACTGAACTTCAGGATGTTACTCTCAAAAAAATGGTATCAAGACTGCGTATTTGCAATGCACTAGAGGCATTTAAAATTAAAATTTACTTTTGAGACTTGACCACAAGGTTCTGCAGAGAAGTAAATTATTAATTCCTGTGGATGACATTGTAAGGTGATGATTTTCTTAATGTTTGAAGAATTTTCACAGGGAAGGATTTTTTTTCACCTCTCTTTTCCTAAGCCCTGTGAGATTAACAATTTATTTGATGAACTGTCTCCTCCAGATAAATTGGCTGTATATATGACAATGTGTAATAGAGTGTGTGGTCTAATATAATATACTGCACATAATGTTGGAAAATGTTTCACTATATGGCAAGATGTGAGATTAATTCATAGTGTTTCAGGCCAACTTCTATATGAAACATAACTTCAAACAAAACATAACTTCTGTCCCTTATTTCTCAACTTAGACCAAGCCACGGCTCCAGCGGGGAGGAAGCTCTGCATCTCTCCACAACAGTCTGATGAGGAACAGCATCTTCCAGCTCATGATTCACACACTTGACCCACTTGCAGAAGGTATGCCTATTAATTTTCTTTTTTTTCTCCTTGTTAAGCTATTTTCCACTTTTTTTTTTTTTTTTTTTTGCTTTTCACCCATATTTTCTGAATGTGTGTAAATTTTCTGTTTTGTATTCGAATGGCAAGATATGCTTACTTCCACCAAAACTTGCAACTTAGGAAATTTGTTCATTGCAGTGGTAATTAAAACTGATCTCTTGATTGATACCTATCATGATTACTGCTTTCTTACACCTCTGTTTTCAGCAGCAACTTGAAAGTCACAAAACTTCAATCATCTTGTACTTCTGTAGAGTTTTTTGTTTGCTTCTGTTTTTTTCCCAGTCTTGATCTTATTATATCAGGTTAAAATTAAATAAAAATAATAAAAAAGAGAAAAAGGCCAAACCAATGAGTAATATGTCCTGGAATTATAGAAAGGGATCAGTCTCTACTGGTCTGACTTTGGGTAGATTAACAGTGAAATTAAAGAAAATGAGCCAAACATCCCTCAATGTAACACGCATGTTATCAATTTGCTTGCTTTGTCCAATTTGTAATTTTTGATCTGTGAGAAGCTAGCAGGGAAACCATGATTGCTTTGGTATCAGAAGGTGTCAGGAAAACTATAATTGCTTTGCAGTTTTGGGGTGATTTGAATCTGCACTTTCGGTAGACTTCCAAACAAATTCAAGGCCAGACATACATTAGATGTATATGTGTATATGTGTCTATAACACTTCTTGCTGGAGTAACAACTGTCTTGAGAAATAGCAATTGCAAAAATTGTATGAGGTACTAAATAGGCATGTTACTGACAGTTATAAATTCTGAATGCTGCCAATCATGAAGTACATTTTCTTTCATTTAGGTTCCATTTATGTTTCTCATTTCAGCATTACATACAGCTTTTTAAGCTGCTTTTCATGTCAGGACAAGGCAAATATACTTTTCCATTTCCCTCTCCAACAGATGAAGTTGATGTTCATATTGTCAATACAAGGGCAATTTTAGCTCGTGCATTCTCTATACCATTATTTTCACTCTGATTATGATCCATTGCCACAAGAAAATGTTTTTGCTTTGGTTTGTGCTGTTTGCTGCCAAAGCCTGTTGCGTGTTAGAGCGGAGCCATCAACAGACTATGCTCTGTTCTCATAAATGCTGAAAAAGGACTATGTAATTTATTGTAGATAAACATTTAGCTTCCTTTATTTCCATCACTGTAGCAGGTGAGTTGGTTTTCTTATTGCTGCAAACTTTCCTTTCAAATCTCTTCTTTACCCATCTGTTAGTCGAGCTTTGTCTTCTGCTAGGAGAACAGACATCCACTCAGAACATGCAAAAGAAAAAAAATTCTGACAGTCCCTCTCACTCCTCTTTTCCCTGAAAGCAATGCTTCTGGATTGAAGATATGCCAGATATGTTAAGTAGCGCTAAGTGGTGACAGAAACGATGAACAGAAATCATCAAATCATTTCCAAAAGATAGAACAGAAGTGGGCTGGGAAGAACCTTTTAGCAGAGACAGATTGAGGACCTAGGCTGAAAACTGGAAATGCTTACTGGAGTTCAATTTGGACTTAACAAACGTTCCACGATTAAAATCGGTTCTCACCTAGTATGTATTTCTCCACTGTTTGAGGTTGTTCCCCTAAACATAGGTTGTTTAGCATTCAGATTTTATTCCAGTGCTTTTCCCCTCTAGCAGCACTGTACCACGCAGTGTACAGTCTTCCCTGTTTGGGACAGCACAGGAAAAAAGGTTTTCAAAACATGAAATCTGTCCCGAGTTTTTTGAAAACCAATTACTGTAACTAAGTATATCAAGTAACTCTGTGCAACTACTCATTGTGTCAGTAAAACTTTTGAGATCAATATGGATTGATAGAAATGACTACAAAGGATAAATTTGACTTACAGAAAAAACATAGTGGTGGTTTGCTTGCTCACAATAGCTTTTTTTTTTTTTTTTTAACGTGTGTCCAAACTCTGAAATTTGTCTTAGAGCTGACGTTCTTCAAAAATCAGAATGTAAAGTTGATGGTCCTTATATGAGTACTAGGCACTGATATGAAACCTGTATCTTTCACTAAAACTGACATGATGAGTTTGAATTTACAAAATAAAACAAAATAATAAAAATATTTGCAGTAAATATGGTGTTGTTATGTACAATTATCAGAAAATGTCCAAGAAGTATGGAAACATGGAAAACGCGGTGCGGACATTGGATGTGGTATTGACATCAAAGGAACTAAACTTTCAAATATTCACCCAGTACACAAAATTAAATTTGAGTTAATGAAAGCCCAGTGTGCAATTCAGTAAACACTTTTGCATTTGCAGCTTTGGTTTTATTTTTTTTACCTATATGTCCAGATATATTAACTGTTGTATTCTGCCAGACCTTATGTTCATTAACGCTTTCTGAGGCACCACTTCTTTTGTGGGGAGGCCTGGCTTTCAAAATGTTTAGTTTTGCAGGTGGTTTGGAAGACACGCAGTCAGGTTTCAGCTCACCTCTATGCTCATTAAGATCATGGTGGAGATCCTCCAAGAAACTGTGTCAAGGTGATAGAAGTCAGGGAATGATTATGGACAGCCAATAGGTCTTCATGAAGAGCAAATCATGCCTGACCAACTGGCTGATGTTCTACGGCAGAGTGACAGTACTTGTGGTCAAGTAAAGAGTAACTGATGTTATTTACTTTGACTCATCCAAAGCTTTTAATATGGTTCCACACAGCATTCTTATCTCTGAATAGGAGAGACTTTGAATTTGATGGATGGACTATTCAGTGGATAAGGAATTGGCTGTGTCTGAAGAGTTGCTGTCAATGATTCAATGTGCAGGTGACAAGTGATGTCTTCAAGGGTTCATCTTGGGCCTGGTGCTCTCTAATATTTTCATTACTGATATAGACAGAGGGATTGAGTACACACTCAGCAAGCTTGCAGATGACACCAAGCTGGCTGGTGCTGTTGATACAATAGGAGGAAGGGATGTGATACAGAGGGGCCTTGACAGGCTTCGTAGGTGGGCCTATGCAAACTTCATGACATTCAACAAGATCAAGTGAAAGGTTCTGTTCCTGGGTCTGGGCAGTCCCAAATGTCAGTACTGACTGCATGATGAATGAATTGAGGGAGACCACTGTATAAGGCCTTGACTAAATTGGTGGATGAAATACCTGTTTTGGATCTGAAACAAAGAGAAGTGTATGAAAATTATTATTTTCATTATTATTATATTCATTATTATTATTATTCATTATTACTCCCTTCTTCTTCCTTGCTTTCTCTTTCTCCATTTTGCTACCATTTGCTTCCTTTCTTTTTTCTCTTGTTTTCCTCATACTATTTTCTCTCATCTGCACCTGCTTCCTTTCACTCTTTTCCATTAGGATGGCTTCCTCAGTAATTGCATTCCTTCTGTCCTGCTGTTTCCTTTAATAGAAGCACTTTCCAAGTGGACACTGGCAGCACTTCAGCAGGTCCAGCCAAACAAACCACATATTTAGTCTCCAGAAAAGCTTTTGTGAAGTCTGTCACCAACATGTTTCACCCTTCACAACCTCTAGGTCAAATGTTGCCATCGGACCTAAAACTTCTTGTCACCATGCTGCTGGAATATCCAGCTTTCCTTTCAGTCATTAATAAAATTAATTGTTACTTTCTCTTTAATAACTACAAGGAGAAAATGCTTTGTCATTTTGGCTTCTATGGGCTTGGTAAGGCTGACAGAGCAGAAGTACCATCTAAGCCCTCTTAGTGGTAGCGTGTTATAGGATGTATAAACAGATGACATGATTATTTAAGGTCAGCTTGGCCTACACAGTGTTATTTTTACATTATCGTGTGATGTAATATAGAAAACCAATTCATGCTCTTTACTTCTGAGTAATTCATTTGTATATTCACAACCAAATTCTGCTTTAACAGAGAGCCTCTGGAAAATGGTTGTAAGCTGGAGAATATTAAAAGATAGATAAATGAGTTTAAGAAGTTTTTACTTTCTATAAAATACAGATGAACAGTGATCAGGATATAAAATTCTACACTTGTGGACTTGTTTTTCACCCTGTTTCCATCAGGTGTGCTTTTACCATGACTTGTGCATGTCTTGTTGAAGACAATATTAAAACTTGGAGAGCAGAGAATTGCAAATTATTCAGCCCAACTCTAACAGATGAATAAGATCTGAGATCAGTGGGAGTCACTGGATATTTGGAACATTGCATTCAGGCAGATGTGCAGACATGCTGCAGATATAACAACCTAAGACAAGAGAAGCTTCTCCTTGGTCTCAGTTTAAAGCTTCTAAGAAGATAAGAGATCAGGTTCTTTATCAGGTGCATGTGTAGGTTATTCGTTAGCTATATATCAGCTTTAAACCTCATTGTTCATTACAAATATAAATATCCATGTGACATTCATTTCTGTTTGCTTTTGTCTTGTTAAAGGTATAATGACCTTGGTAGAGATCATTTCCTGGAGATTAAGATTAATGATTGCCTTTGCATCAGGCTATCATCTACTCCCAGCCAGTCAATAATCCCCAGGAAATCCTGTGCCAAATTTGTTTCTGCTTAAGTGCTGCTCTGGCAGTCGTTTATTCACCCAGTAGCAACCTGGACTGTTCATAACAGCATTACTCATTTGAATAAGGACTGCATCATCAGATCAGCTGTTCTGATCAAACCCCAATCCAAAATCCAAGCAACTCAAACATAAACCACAACATTCCTTTATCATTTGTGGAGGTACCTCTGTCTGAGTCTTGGTATTGAGATGGGTTATGATTGGTTTCTTGGGTTATGTACAGGTAGGATTTACTAACAACTTTTTTTTTTTTATTATTATTATTTTTTTTTTAATTGGGAGACAGCTTTAGTTTTGCATGGAGGAAAATCCTGGAAAGTGTTTTATGGTCAGTGGCTCTATGTCAAGGTGCAGAGCAGTGCCCCAAGGGATTAGTCCTGGGATCAGTGCTCTTCAACATATTTATCAATGACT